CAACTGAGGCATTCGCACAGCCAGACAAATCGAATACACATGGAGAAAAAGGCGAAAGGGACGGATCTGTCAGAAAGATATACAGATATACGGATAGATAGCCAGACGGGCAGACAGACGGTTGGGCAAACAAACCAGCGCCATATGTGTGCCTCACAACGCCGATACATAACTCATACTCATACCCATACTCAAACTCATACTCATACGCGTACTCATACGACTCGAAACTCAAACTCTAACTCAAGCTGCAGCTGAAAACTACCGTTTGATCGATCGTTTTGATTAGAAATGCAACACATTTCTATATGATCTGTCACACAGGCCGCAAAAGTCTGCTTGGCATTTGCGGTCTCGGCGGCAGACAAGCGAAATGTTTGTTAAAGTGAAATTAACGTCGCCAGCCAACTGCAGCCACCAATCAACAATGCCGGCTCAAACCCAGGCTCAGCTGCACCACCGCACCACGCCACACCACGCACTGATCGGCACTGAGAGAAAAGTATAGTGGTCTTGATAAATAAATGGCACTGCAACTAGTTGCGTAGGATATCACTACAGGGTAGTGAGTAGACTGCAGCTTCTTAGAACAAGCATGTTGGCTGGAGAGATTTTCCAAGTATTTTTTCGCAGTCTACGAGCCCATGCCACAGCGATCATCATTCCATCCCCGGCCAAGCCAAACCGCGTCTGTTTCTGTTTCTGTTTCAGTTCAGTATCGGTGGCAGCAGCAGCAGCAGCAGCAGCTTTTCCGTGGCATGCAGTTGTCGCCATCGCAGAGTCGTCGTCGCCTTGTCGCACATTTTCCGCGTGGTTGTCGTGGCTCGTCCCCAGAAGAAGAAAAACACCACCGGGCCAGGTTAAAGCCAGGGAAAGACGGCTCGAACCCAATTCCAAATACAGCTCCCTCTGTCGCGCACCCGCTCTCACCCGATCGCGCTGTCTCGCTCTCATGTGCGTTTTTGGTTACGGGCTTAATTTACAATTAATGAAATTCGATCGTTTTATTAACTGTACATTTTGCATGATTTATGCCCCCCACTCCGCGGGCATTGAAACAGTTTTTGACAATTTTCCACTGCCTTTGGTGGATTCACGTTTTCCTGCCGCCCGCTGTCCATTAACCTTCATTAGGCTTAGGGGGCTATTAACACCCCCCATCCCGAGCTGCCATTGCTTTTGACCATTTATGGTTCGCTCGCATTGCCGGCGATGACAATTTCTATCGACGATTGCACAATTAAACTCTATTTACTTATTTGTTTCGCTTAATGAACTGTGTGAAACTCTTACGATGTCTCAAATATTGTGCCCAGGCCAAAACAATTGTAGCACCACACCCCCAGCCACATGTTCAGCTGCAAGTACACTGGGAAAAACAGACTCATTTTTATACACACATGGACTTATACTTGATTGCAGTTGGGTTCGCACAAGATTGATATAATGCATTCAGATTAACTGATGACATGAAGTTGCACTCTTTTTAAGGTAACGTTAACTTGTTAGATGTACAATTAATTTTGAAATGAAGTGCAGAAAATGAATCAGAAAACTCCGATTTCACTGCTATCAGTGTAACAAAGCCACCACGCAACTTGTCTCGCCTTTCGTATTGTTTTTTGTTTTGCTGGCCAAGCTGCTCGCGCATTTTTGTGCAGCGCAAATTGTTATTGCACAATTTTCGGGTTTGGGAATTGAATGCAATAGCCACAAACTGGCAGACAGACGAGAAAAAATACGAAACACACACAAAATGCGCCTAATTGCCGCTCTTTCAGCTGTCGCACATAACACTTTGTTTTTGCTAATTTTCTGTCACCTGCGTCGTTTTTTAAATGCACTTTTGCTCAGACAATAGAGCGGGAAAAAATGCCGAAAAGATGGCTAAGAGGGCACGTGACCGATGATTTTTTATGGGGAAAAGAATGAGAACAAGAGTGAGAATCGGGCTCATCTTTGTCTTCTGTGTGACTCACTTGACACAGTTGCAGTTACCAGTTTGTTGCCCTTTGTTTTCGGCTACCGGGAATTATCATCTCCGAAAGGCCGGAATCGCTTCTTTCTTTCTGACACCGTGCAACCGTTAAAATTGCATGCCTCCACATTGGCCATTATCAAACTAAGGCATCAATCTGCCAGAACCAGAGCCGCACAATTGCAAATTACCAGGGCAATTACGACTCGAAACTCTTGGTCGGTTGGGGGGCCAAAATGGAGCAGGCGACTGCGGAAACACGTTTTAGGCCCGGCTAGAAGATACAGATACAACTGCTGATACTATGCGAGTCAGGTCCAAACAGCATACCTACCCACTTGGCTGGCCAGCTGGGCGATTATGCAATTTACAAGATCTGGCCGCTGCCTCAGTTGCATCTCCAGAACACAAGACAATATTGCCGGGGCGGCTAAGTCATTTTGAATACCCAAATTTAAACGAAATAATCGTAAATAACTGGGCTAATTTGTAACGCTTCCCCGCATGCGTAATGAACCATGCAGCCCGATTAGAAGAGCTCTTCGGCTCGGCTCACCCAAAAAGCTGCGGGGAAATCTGAACGAAACTGAAATTCAATTAACGCTGTCATATCAAAGAGACGCAGATAGAACTAGATTGGTTTTCAGGTACAGTGGGTACTGTTAAAAACTCGGAGTTTCGCTGACATAAAGCGCCTTTCTGAAAGAGGAGTGACTTCCCTAAAAATGTCGCCACACTCAGCTTATACTTTACTACTTTTTTAAGTTAGAAACTTTGGTAAGTTGGAAACTCCCAGTTTCCACCACTGGCCAGGCTTGACTGTATGTGCCTTGGAGTGTTTTACGGGCATCTAGGCAGCGGCTGTCAAGTTCAAAGTTATAAATGTGCCAGGGATCGTGCGGAGTTTATTTAATTTCCATGATTTCGTTGTGTTTGCTGGCAGCATACGAAATCAGTTCACAAATATTTGTGGGCACCTTTTGTATTATTTTTCTTTTTAGAACTCGGTTTCCTGCGCTGCATTTGAAAGTCGCAATCGGAGAATAATTCTGTCATTGACTGGCGCAGAGTGCCCGGGGATCAATTACCTTTCAAAACCAATTTGCATTTGAAATGCATAACGAAATCGTGTGCACACAATGCAATATTTTGGCAGTCACACGCTGGGCCAGCTAAGTTGGCAGTTGTTCATTGTTCGGTTTTAGCCAGCTGATTGGCAGGCTTTCAAATTGCGAATCAAGCGGCATCAAATGGAGAATGAAAATGGAAAATGGAAAATGCAGGTGGTTCGCCGGTTCGGTGGCACCCACACACAGCCTTATCTCCCTTTGGCAGTTGCTCATTATTGCAACAGTTGCAACGCGAATTCGGCTTAAAAACTATATGCAAGTTGTAGCTGTTTTTATGGCCAAAGGTGTGTCAGTAGTTGCAACTGCCATTTGTTGTTCGATCAGTCGATCAGTTCGATCAATAAGCTCTAGGCACGCAAGCACTCCACTCTTCCACTTGGGGTCTTGAGCTCGAGATCATCTCTTGGCGAAATATGGGTTAATTCGGTGCCCAGTTTGTCTTATTTTCGTTGCTGATGAACAATTTGCGGTAACTCTTACTTTTGATTAGGCCATGAGTCTGCAGATCTGCGGGATTAATTCTTGAAAAGTAAATCTGGCGATGATTTGTCAACTATTCGAGTGGTTGCTTTCTTTCGCAGCGCTCTTATTTTTCTGGGTTAGAAAAACACAGCGCTTTCGAGGGGCGGCTTTCATTTTCAGATGCGCATTATTGTGTAACATTTCCCCCACGGATCCCCCCCTCATCCACTGCATTCTGTCATGCAACTTGCCACAACACAGCAAGCAGTCAGCAGTCAGCAGTCGTAAATTATGACGGCCTGTCCATAATTAATCAAAGCACTAGGGCCGCCGTCTACTGGGGCAGTTAGTCTCAATTAACACACGCAAATTGGCCAGGCTGACAGGGCCCGATCTTCCGGCCAAATGGCATGGGTAAATCTGTGGAAATATGCCAGGCATTTGAAAGTAAAAACAGCGCACCGCGCCTACCGAAATTCGTTATACATTTAGTATAGAATGCGAGATGCATTGTTAGTGGCGAATAGTGAATAGTGAGTAGTGAATAGTGGCTGGCTCTCGGCCTTTTGTGTCGCTCAGCCAACTGGTTTAGAAATTCTACTGGTTTCAGTTTGGGCTTTGAGTGACGACCGTGGCGAAACCTGATGTGCCACATCGGGCGATTTGTATTCCAAATGACGTCTGGTTCCGTTCCGTTGGCCAGGAGGCTACGTACTCTATGTCAGCTGATTGAATTGCAAAAGGAGGGATGGTGAATGCGAAAATGGAAAAATGGAAAATGGAAAACAACGAGCGAAGAAGAAGACGACTTGCTTGGGGTTGTGTTGTCCGGAAAATTGTGCAAGCTGTTCTGCAAGTTATATGAGACATTTCGCAATCAACGTCACTCGTCTTGGCCTTGTGCTTCCTGAACATATTGGTCAGCTCTTCGGCAAGAAGAACGTGGAAAATACGACATGTTACTCAAGTTTAGTTTCGAACGTCTTACAGGCAAATGATATCCGATTATTTCTAAGAAGTTGTGTGCCTTTGTGGTACCTTTTAACTACTACAAATCGACCAGCATGCATCTTCATCTCATCGCCCGCTAATTTATGCCGCATTGCATTATCGATTTGCCCGAAGTTTATGGCCCAGGCTTGAGTGGAGTTGTGTCAATTTATTTTTCGTGTCCAGCTGGGCAAACGAAACTGGCCTAGCAACCTTTAAACAGCGAACTACCTGCTTTCAGCTGTTTGCTTAACTTGGCTTAAATTTATGCATTTAGCCAAGGCATTTATCATGCGAAAGATACAGCGTTAAATTAGCATATAACGCACTGCGCGCCAATATTTTTTCTTTTTGGGCTAAACAAAAGCCCAAATATCGAAACGATTGCCTTGATTAGTTGACAAATAAACTAACCTTCCTTTCTGGCTTTCTCTTTGCAGCGTGGAATCGGCGGGACATTTTGCATGAAACTTGCAGCAAAACAAGGTATGTAACAAATTTCTTAATTAACTTTAAAGCTAAACTTTCCCAGCGCCGAGCAAATATGCCAATTAAGTCAATAAATATTTGCCAGCTGCTATTTACGTTTTGACACCGGGCAGCAATACAGATTTCCAAAATGCTTTTGCATTTTACAAATGGCAGACGAACAGGCTTTTGAGCCGCACAGAAATCATTTATGTTAATCAACACATGTTTTTTCGGAGTCATTGGCTCTGGGGGAATTCTTTTTTGCCTGACTTCAGTGGCTTGGCTTTTTCTATATATATGTATACTCGTATATTATAAAAGGCCCAAAAACGCAAGGCAAAGTAAATATATACAGAAAACGTGTTTGTGAGTGTCGCACAAAAAGCAAAATTCAAATTCAAATTCAAATTGTGCCCCGTTGAAATTTGCGCTAATGTTGCCATTTGTGTTGCTGCTGCGGCTGCTGCTGCTGGGCAAGTTTGAGGTTGCTCGTGTGTTGCTGCTGCTGCGGCTGCTGCTGCTGCTGCTGCTGAAGTGATGTTGCTGTATGCCGAGTTATTTTTGGTATGGGGCATGCCGACGCTTATGGCTGCCCCATGCCGAACAAGATTTCTGCGCCAGCGCAAAACTCCAAAGTCAGATATTCAGCGTCTCTTGTTTCTAATTCCCATGCAAATATGTACTGCCATGTCATGTTGCTTCTGTTGCTCCCCAACTGTTTGCATTTCAATAAGCGTACACACGAATTCGGAATTGCGCGGTTCTTTCGGCAATAGAGATTCTCGTGAACTGGCTGTGACACAAATCAAACTGATGTATTTCCAAATCGAATTCGCATTAATATATACACAACGAGCCGTGCCAAAAAGGTGGGGAAAAAGCAAGAGCAACGACATTTCTGATAACTAATACTTTGGAAAAAGACATATGTATAAATAAACAAAGCGTGATAAAGAGTTCGCTTCGCCCAGGTAGAACGGAAATCGTCAGTTTGGCCAGAGAAACGAGTGCAACTCCAGAGAAGGCGGCTTTGGCCGTTAAGAAATATTACGTATACGCAGAGTGACTCACGCAGCCAGTCATTGAAAACCGTACTGCGAACCAGGCTGATTCAAATTGGTTTGTCATGTGGTCTTCACTGAAATCATAATCGAATCACAAAGGGCAATCAGTCGGAAGCAAATTTCAAATGTATATTGTCATCCCCGTTGCGCTAACTTTTCGATTTAGGAAAGCTATGAAAAAACTATATTTTCTAGCGTGAAAAACTTATGAAACCCATTATGCAACTAATTGAGTCTATAAAATTGATAACTTCAAAGTGACTTGCTGGAACATTTGGCGCAGTGCACAATGATCAGCAATCAAGCTGGCTTTAACAGCCTGATTATGCCTAAATTGCCACTCAAAGAGCTTCTAAGGTGTCGGTTGTGCTGTTGTGCATCTACTCACCAGTTGGCCATAAAGCCAATCCAAACAAGTGCCTGGATGGCCAGATCTGCTGTAATCTTCTGATTTGTTTGGGCTGTGCATGTGCTGCCCTTCAGAAAGCACAGAGATACCGATCCGGATCCCCACACCTCCAGATTCATTACCGATCCCGACGGGGAATCCGATGCCCAGCGTTAATTCGTGTGCGCTGCTTATGAGGTTGACAAGCCAAACGAATCCAATAGGGCCGGGCATTATTTTATGGGATCCCTTTTATCCGGGCACCGCATAAACTCACACTTAAAATCAATAAACGCGGACTGGCCCGCCCAACGGCCAATTGCATTCGACGTGTGTAAGCGATAAAGCTATAAAATAGCACAAACTTATGCCCACAATAAACATAAACAATTCCGGGCGAGAGATGAGCTCTAAAACCGATTTGCCAAGTACAAAAATGTAGAACCAAAACCGCAGATACAAAAACCGCAGGCGAATTACTAAGCCAGGATTCAGTTGCTCCGGCCAAAGAGTATAGAGTTGTTGGTACATGCGTAAACAAGTATTTTTATGGGGCTCCGGCCATGGGGCATAAAAGGATGCCCCACGGCTGTGGACCAGCACAGGATGATGGGACACGGCCATAAAGGCACTTAATTGCCATTTTATTACCACAGCTATTAGGCCGCAGTCGCAAAGGCTGGGCCAGACATTCAGCCAGTCCGTCAGTAAGTCAGTTAGTCAGTTAGTCAGTTAGTCAGTTAGTCAGTTAGTCACTCAGTCTGCTGGACTTTCATTAGAAGCTCCGAGCAAGGAACTCCTGCCAGCGGATTGCGCTTCACTTTCGCGTCAGAAATCCGAGGCATATTGCACCACATTTGCATCAACAACAACATCCGCTGAAATCACAGTTTCTTGTGGACTCTGTACACTGAGCAAAGGCGCTAGTGACTTGGCCACTATCAAAGTGGCTAGCAGATAGTCGGAACAATACTTATTCTCATATTTAAGGAAGTAAGTGGCTGGCTTAATACAGATTAACTCACAACTGAACTTGTGAACTAGGCACGTAGTTTTCTTTCAGTGCACGCCAGCTCTTGCGCTTTGTCTGCCACATGCAAAGTGGCTCCCTTCAGCGAGTGCAGTGCCATCCGGCGATATCTTTAATGAAATCTGCATGTTGTGCGCTTTAACAAGCATTCTGCTTGTCTACTCATGTCGCCCTCCCCCGATATCTAAGTGTCTCCATCTACGTAGCCGTGTGCCATTGCGATCCTTTTGTGCTAGGAATGGTGCAGGCAATGGGACTGGGAATGGGAGTGGGAATCCCAGATCCCAGATCCCGGATCCCGGATGCCAAGTAAAAGAACCCACAGAACAGCGGAGAACTGCCCGAGCCTGTGGCAGATCTTGTTAGCGTAAATATTAACTTGTAAATATGATGATGCCTCATGGAAATTGTACGAATTGCTGATAAATATCATTAGGTCGCAACTCTAGTCCCTGCCTTGTAGGTGCATCTGCATCTGTATCTGTAGCTGTATCTGTGTGTGTGGGGATTGCATTTCGCCTGGCAATTCTATTAAGATTTGTATCTAAAGTGCTGGTACAACCTATTTGTTGTATGCGGCCAGTACTCACCGAGTGCACTCGTAATTGTTTAGCAAATCAGTGGAGGGCTGAAAGCTGAAAGCATTGCCAAGCCATGATTGTTGCTATTGTTCGGCTGATTACACAGTAGTAACTGACAATTTGCCATCGATTTCCGTTGGTTTTTCAAGCAGCTAAGCTGCCGGCTACGCCCTCATACTTGTTAAATAATGTCGAAAATGCTGAGGATAGTAAAATGGAAATATTGTAGACTTATTGAATATATATTATTGAAATGAACAAAGTGCTTTTCGAACTTAAAGGCCATTACACGACTCCTAACCATCAGCATTCCAAGCAGACAACGCACGCTTTGTGCTCGTAAATATACTTTCTGAAGAATAGAACTTTATAATGGGGCTGGACTAGGCCCGTGAAATCCAAGCGACTTTCCTCTGGAAAAGCGACCATTCAAGCCCGCAACAAAGACGTGACAAATATCCCAAATGAGCTACTTTAAAGCGTGGGAGTTGCATTCACTCCAAGTTCATGGGAATGAATGCACTGGAAGTCATAGGCGCCAGTCTCTACACTTCCCTTCCACTCCACTTTGTTTGGTTTGGTTGGGTTTGTGTTTTGTTTTTGTGCTGCTTCGGGGCCACCGTGATAAAGTCACTTAGCTACTCATATTTCAACGAAACGTGCACATCAACTTCCTATTCCCCCAGCACTATCCATATTCATACACAGCTTACACAAAAAGAAATAATGGTTGTAACTAAACACATACGTTCTTAAGATAAACAGCTAACGTTACTTTATTGAAGTGTATCATCCTTTAGTGGTGGACCTAAGTATAAGTAGTGTAAGTACTGTAATAATACAGATCATTGGTGTTACATTCTAAAAATTTCATAACTTATGGACGAACGGATGATTCGGAAACTAATTAAAGCGGGTACTCAGATTAGTCACGGTTTTCCCGCACTGTAGTCCGCCGCCCTGTGGGGGGTGGTGGATCAAGCGGGGATTGGGTCGTAATTTCCAGCTCTCAACGCCGCCAGCGGGCCAGCAGAGCGACACAGTTGGACACTGTCTGCTCCAGTTTACCGAAAATCGTAGACCGCAAGCGGTTTCATGCGCGGCGCACGCTGCGTATGCGTATTATGTTCGATTTCTAGTTTGACTCGGAGTTCAATAGACGATTAGATTCTAAGTTGACGGCGATGTTGTGGTAGTTTGGGGTCTACATATTTTTGTTTCCTTTTTTTTTGTTTCTTCTCTGGGTGAATGTGTGGTTGTTGCTTTCTTGGAGGCACATTGCGTGTGCGTCTGCCAAAGTTATCGCGGCTTTTTACACTAAGACGAAGGCTAATATGTCATTTGGTCATTGATACGCGGCAGCGGCGCTCGATCGAAGAAGGAACGAGATAGAGAGTGGTGAGCGAGCGAGAGAGGCAGAGGCAGAGGGGGTATATATAGACGGTGCCACCAAAGCAAAACGCTTACTGTCAGTGTGAGGCGCGCATAATTAATTGCGCCTATCAATATTGCCTCTTGTGCTTTTTGTCTGGCGTTTTTTCTTCGATTTTTCTGCGTGGCTGCACGCATATATGGCCAAAAGTCCGGGACTCCATCGGTGGCTCCATTGGCCATTGGCAGCAGCTCATTGAGATAAGCCTGTCCGTTTATGCGATTTTCCGTTCGGATTCAGCATAAATCATTCGCCTGCGAAATGTTATGTCAGCGTATTTTACGCGGTCAGCACGAACGGGCCAACAAAAAGGATTGCTTCCACGGCAATTAACTATCCGAATAATTGTTTATGCACTCCTAGAAGACCTAGAATATATAAATTTTAGACACTTCTTGGCAGCGCTTCTTAGTCACAGACAGAAAATCCCATAAGTAAAGAGGTGATTGGTTTTACAGCCAATTCTGGAACTGAGTCAGAACGGATGTGGACAGTCTATGGAGGGCCTTAAATGGTCCTC